AGGTGGACGGGTACACTCGAAAGGATTGCTTGAAGTTCTGCTCACCAAGGTGAGGTACAGTTCCCTCGAACCACCTCTCGTTTCATCTGAAGGCCCAGATCGATCGATCGCAGGCCTTCTCCGACAGCTCCAGTGCGCACAGCAAGGTATTGCAGAACAGCAGTTGCTGCTTGATCCTCTCCTTGGTGGCTTTTGTAGCGTCTGCCTTGCTTTCCAGAGTGAGAAGGCAGGCCGCGAGGCTTGCGATCCTCACTTTTTCTTCCGTACGGTCGCCCATAACGTGTCGAGAGCAGTCGAGAGCAGCGAAAAACAAATACGGTAAATAAAAGCCCAGTGGTGCCAGACGGACTTGTGCACATCGCTAGTTATGGGAATGCTTCCTTAAATAGTGCAACAAACTTTCCCATTGGTGTTTCTTCATCTCTTATTCTTAAATTTATTCGAAGAAACGAGCAGTGCAACAAGTCTTTAATTTGTACATCGTGATACATCGTTTAATTTTCATTGATTCTTTTAACTACTGGTGCCACGCTTTCGCTAGCGTCTTCGAACGAAAACACTAAAAGGAGATCGTTGCTGCCGTGTGCCTGCGCCGCAACACCTCTTTGTTAAAAAGTCTTTCAACTTCGTAAAAGACCGCTTGCCTAAAAGACTTTGTGCGCCCATGTGACACAGGTATAAAACAAAGCGAGAGCTATCAAACTATTATTGAGCAATTGGAAAGTTTGTGAGCAATTGGAAGGTCCAGTGCTAGTTCCCATAAAATTTTTGAAAGCTTGTCGGTCATGTTTCTACCATAATCCCAACGTTAAAACTAGTACAGCCAACTCCTCTTAAACGGAACTCGAAGGGGATCCACAAAACTGTTCCATTTATCAGAAGTTTCATTTAAGCAAACTACACTTATTTAGTGAATCAAAAACTTTATTTAAATTGCACAAACCTCACCTTACTCATGAGGATGAGTAGGAAAAAAAAAGGAGTTAAGGGTGGTTTGTTTGGCAAGCTTGAGTTGTTTTTTCACAAGGTACGCACGCATGCCTGACAAACTAGCTAGAAATTCTGGACAAGCCTCATGCTCAAAATAGCGCTGCAAAAGTTCAACAGCCTCTTTAGCTGATCGGTCTCGTGGCACCACTGCCCTGGCAGTATTGTCATCACATTCATAGCTGGAAGGTTGATCCTCATCTTGCACTTCGGCAATCATTTTCTCGACAGTCTCTTCACGACAGGTATGAACAATTTTATCAATTGATTCATAGTCACACAGCGTGAAAGTAGCAGAGGGCACGACCTGACTGAATACTGTCTCAATGTCGGCATCAGCAGGGTTTTCTTTTTCATCAGGTACTGCTTTCTTGCGCTTGAAAGCCAGCATGGCGAAAGCATCTGTGTATTGTTGTTGCCTTCACTTGCTCCCAGGCACAAGCCAAAATGTTGATGGCTGCCAATGAATCTATGCTCTAGTATTTCCCGCTGCCTGCTCTAAGCAGCATTTGATGGAGCAATTGTCAGGGGTAATGAACTTTAATGTTCTGAATAACCCTTCGATCCATCAGCTGGATCACTGCCGTTGCATTGGCTGGCAAGAACTCCAGAGTGATGGCTTGGAGTCCTTGAGCCTGACCATGGGCTGGGCAATTATCTACGATGAAGACAACCTTCCTGCCTTGCCTCGTAAATCTCGCGTCTTCCTCCCGAAGCCAGTTTTCGAAAATGACCATGGTCATCCACGCTCTTCCGTTCCCATGGTACGCAGCGGAAGGTGTTGAACGCCTTTGAAACAACATGGGTGCCTTGATTTTCTTATTACCAACAGCTTCAATTTCTGATCTCCTGCCATGTTTGTACCCACCAGCACAGTGATGCGATCTTTACTGCGTTTTCCTCCACTACAGACTTCGCCTTTGAAGGCGAGAGTCTTGATGGAACGGCCTTATAAAAAAGACCCATCTCGTCGACCGTGAAGACATCTCGTGGCTCAAAGCTTATCAAAATTTCCTTAAGCCGCCCCTGTTGCCAGTCAGTGCAAATGCCCCTGTTGACTGCACTACTCTCACCTCAGATTGCTTTGAAGACTAGGCCATGGCGTGTTTTGAAGCGGCTGAGCCATCCGCCGCTTAGGACAAAGTTTTTAACACCCATTTGCATGGCGATCTCTCGAGCTTTCTGCTCAAGAATTGGTCCGCTTATGAGCAAATTTGAACTCTGTGCACGCTTGAACCACAGAAAAAGAACTTTTTCTAGTTGTTCATAAGGCGTCGTCCGCATCCGTATTCGTTTAGACGTAAAGGTCCCGTTATTTACAGCGCCTTCAATCTTTTCTCTGTCTTAGTAGATCCGCGACAGCGTCAATTTCGGGATGTTATATTTTTTTGCCACCTCCGTCTTGGGCAGGCCACTTCGATCAAGGCATAGTCCGCATCTGCATCCGTTTAGATGTAAAGGTCCGTTAGTGCTTTCAATATCTTCTGTCTTTCCAGGTCCGCAACAGCGTCGATTTCGGGATGTATTTTGCGCCATGTCTGTCTTGGGCAAGCTGCTTCGATCGAGCTCCTGAAGAATTCACAGCTTTTTTTCAAGCGAGAGTGCATGGTGCGGCCGCTTCCTTTCCATCGGGCTGAAATAACACCGTGATCCACCGCACTTAGCCGCACAAACAGGCTTAACGCACAATTGACTCGCAGACTCGGCTCGCACAGCCATTGTAGTGTACTAGAATATTGGGTAGTGTGTTCAGCCCCCCTCTCTCGCCATGCATCGCATGAAGAGGTGCACGTGGACAAAAACCCGTTTTCAAGGCGGCGTAGCATAGGCTGGCAGGATTGTCAGCTCTGCACCACTCTGCCTTCTCGGGTGCTGTTCAGTGACCTGTTGCTTGTGTTCGCGCCGCTTAACGAAAGTTTTTCTGGCAATGTTTTTGCTGGCCACGCGACATTGAGCCAATGCCGAGTAATCGGTGGCAACGACACTGCTTTGCACCTAGGTGCAAAACAGGGTATACCATTGGAAAAAAGGTGAGCAGCCATCACTTTTCACTGCACCCAAAGACGAAGCATGGAGGAAGGTTTGGGAACAGAGTTTACATCGAAACGATGGGACCTTGAACGAAAGCTGCTCTGTATGTGAGCTACACTTTGAGCCTTCATGTGTTCTCGGAGACTACGTGCATGTTATAAACGGCAAAGAAGTTCGCGTACCATGTAGGAGCCCAGAGCTAACGCCGGACGCTGTGCCGATGTTACTGCCTAATGCTCCAAGCTACTTATCGAAGAAAGCGCCGCATGCAAGACCTCCGAGAAAGCGGAAGAACTCGGCGGTCGAATCTACCATTTCCAAGAAAACTGAAGCACCCTGTGTTGACGGTGAGGCCACTGATTCAGGTTCGTTGATGGACCTTCCTGCTGACTACGAACCCGAAGTGGCAACACTACAGTGAGTGCAGCTTCGCTGGAATGCTTACTCAAGCTTTGTTTATCTTCAATTTATACGAGCTCGATCGCACCACATCTCGTGTCAAAGAGAGTGGTAATTTACGTGCTGTCACGACTTCTTTTTTTCGTGAAGGGTATCAACCAGCCTCGAGAGGCAAAATGAAAAAAAAAAAAAGAAAAGCTGCACGCGAAAATCAGTCGGTGTTCATAAGGTGCCACCGTGGTGAAGTGATCGTGAACTGATAATTCCACAAAATGGCGAGGAATTTGATCACTGTAACAGCTCACTGCAGTATGCACGCTCATAAATAAAGGGTTTCTTCTTACTGTGTGACAGTGGTGCCAAGTGATGTTTCTTTTTGACTGTACAGTGCAATATCCGAGCCACAGCAGCAGTAATTGGGCGTGCACGTAATAGTTTAAGGACCCAAGGTTGTCAAAAGTACTCCCAAGTCTTCAGCTACAGCGTGCCTCTCAATCAAATGGCAGTTTTGTCACCTTAGCCACATAATTACAATTGCATGATGCAACTATCGACAAGGACGGTGCTGCGCGCGTAACTGTCGCAGTGTGCAGACTATGACTCGATATAGCAGTAATATCACAAGAAACTTTCGGGTTTATAGATGTTCCTTCGATACCTCAATCTTCCTAATTTTTTATTCGTTCACCAACCGAACTTTAAAAACTGCAGGCAGTTTCCACAGGGATGACTGCTTCGTTGTCGTTTGTTAATACCTGCATTTGGACCGTGCGTTGCAGCTTTGACATTTCGTTTTGCAGTACGCATGGAATGCATGGAATGCAGTATGAACACACCCATTCAGAAAGGTTTTCGCGGACGAGTCGAAAATTAAACACAAGACTATTAAGCGTGATGCATGCAAGTGCATGTCACGGGATCGAATCCCGGCCGCGGCGACTGCATTTTAGGTGGAGGCGCAAATACTGAGGTGCATGTACCTAGATTTAGGTGCACGTTAAAGCACCCCCGGTGGTCGAATTTCCAGAGCACTCCTCCACGCCGTCTCTCATAATAATCTGGTGATTTTGGGATGTTAAACCCCTGCTATTACTAATATCAAAGCACAGAAGTGCATAAGAGGCAATGCGTGAGGCGACAGCCTATGCTAAGGTGGCGCCATCTCGCGGCTGTCGATACCAACTGCGGCAGCCACGGCTCCTCCCTGAACACATGAACACACTACCCCATATTCTAGTACACTATACAGCCACAAGCGAGAATGGCTACTGGATTGACTTGTCTCGATCTCAAGATGTTGCCATGGTTGTGAGACTACCTTTGGCATGAGCGAGTCTATGCTGTGTTTAGAGTTTGTGCCATTTAACTGTAGGTGACCAATAAGCACTGTTTCGATTAACCGATGAATTTTATTGCGCAACACATAGAAATCCAGCCATATAAGCCCATTTAGTTCCATTAATGAGGCATTTTCATTTAAGCGAGTTTCGTTTATTGGGAGTCCACTGTAGTTCTACCAAGCAAGCTCCAGAAGGAAATTGATACAATTTAAATGGATTTGATTCCACCAATACAATACTCACCTTACTAACAGGAAAACAGTCATGTTGTTTTCGATAGAGCGCAATCAGAGATGGGAGAAGCTTTGGAAGTTGCTCTTCCAGCTTTGACTTGCTCAGAAGCTGTGCCATGTAGCCAAGAGTTACAGCCGACTCAGCTCGAACCTATAAATAAATAAACAAATTTAAGGAGTTTGTCCTGCAATATAAAAAAATTATACAATGGCTTAAAAAAGTGTCACAACAAATGGTTTTAGGCTGATAAATTGTATTCTGATGTCTCCAATGTCATTAATTGCACCATCATATATTTATTAAAGGAGGAGAAAATCAATGCAAATGTTTCGTTTTATAATTTCGGCTTGAAGTACCAGCACTTGATGTCATGGATTGCAGAGTGTAATCCTTGTGTTTTGGCAACATTGGCTCATCATCATATATTTATTAAAGGAGGAGAAAATCAATGCAAATGTTTAGTTTTCTTATTTCGGCTTGAAGTACCAGCACTTGATGTCACGGATTGCAGAGTGTATTCCTTGTGTTTTGGCAACATTGGCTCAACAAAATCTCGTTTAACTTTGTACGTTAAAACACATTTGCTGCAGCACAGTTCTTGAGGTCTTGTTCTACGTGCGATGTGACCTACTGGTGAACCACTCTGCATATCTTCCAGGTGTGCCGTGACTCACCAGTGGGTCATGGCATCTAACACAGGAAAAAAAATTCTCTTGGTTCTTTACAACCACTTACAACAAGGATTGTGCCTCGACGTTGATATGTGATGAGGTTATTGCAAAAGCAAGATTATGCATGCTCATAACATCACAGCCGCATAGGAGGAACCCTAGCCGTGACCCATTGGCGACCCATGCCGCAGTGAACGTTTCAAAAGGTGACGTCCTTCATTCTTACTTATTAAAAACTACGTAAAACCTAGTAGACACCGTCAAAATATATAACATCATGAAGTTTGGTGCAGGCATCTCAAAGTGGCATTGTCACATACTTTTTTTTGTGTGTGTTTTCATGCTTCCCAAGCACCTTCTCGCAGCAAGCATGGTGACTTTAAACTTGTGAGAGTAGTTTGCTAATATGAAAAAAAATTTTTTTTTTCTCTTTTTGGTGTCTCTTTAAGCTGAAATGAAGATTACCCTCTATAAAAAATTTTGCACAACGTGGCAAAGTGTTTCATTCATAAAAAGTAACTTTAAAAAAGTGTAATCGATTGATGATCACGCAAGCTTTTCATTGGAGATTTCAGGCTATAACATGGGGAGTTAAAAAAAATGTTTAGCTCTAAATTAAGGATATCACACTCACAGGATACTTTATGATAAATTTCACGGACATATAGCTAATAAAACATGAATGCCTAACAATTGCCCGGAAACGCTGATGAGCATGATGTCAGACTCTTGCGCCATGCTGACAGTCAGTTGTTCTCTTCCACAAGAAACTAGTATTTCTCATATCTTCCTCTTTCAGCAGTGAATCCTACAATGTGAATGTGAACCTCTATTGCCAGCTTATTTTCTGAATTTGCAAAAAGTGTTTTTTTGTTTTTTCTGCAAGCATAATTATCAAAACCTTTATTTACTGGTGGCTAGTAGTGCAAAAATTTTTATTTCACTTATTGCTAATGCTTTCATTTTTCTCCTTTGCAACTGCCTGCTGTCATTATGCAAGGACCGGCAGCCAAACTCGTTATTGAACTATATTGTCACAAAAATATCCCGTTGGAACATATTTGAAATCCTTAAAGTGTAAGCAGTAGAATAGGTAGTTATCAGACGTGCGACTAGCTGTCCATTTTTTTTCATCCCCATTAGTATGGAAGCAATTAAACATGGGGGGGAAGGGCAATGCCCAACCTGGAACGCAGAGCAAATACAAAAAACGACTAAGACAGAGAAGAGGCTTGATACACACAAACGCAGAATCGCAACAGTATTATTTGAGAACAAGAAACCACGTATATGACAAAAGCTAGGCTTTTGCGAATATTCTAGTGCTTCAAATATTTGTATGTTCACTTTCAATTAAGGGGGGAGGTGGGGATCGAAAGTGAAATTCTTTAGTTTTTGTCGTAGAGCAATGAAATTTGGCATGCTTACTAGAAACTGCGCTAAATGATAAATGACAAAGTTTCATTCAGCTATCTCCAGTAGTTCTGGCATTATAAATTTTTTTATCCATCAGTGTACTACCAAACTTGCCCAAAGCCTGGTGTGACAAAAGAACATGGTAGAAGCCTATAGTTGCTCTTATATTTTAGCCATTGGGATGGTTGATGTCGTGACATTCTGCAAATATTTTTATGACTCTGTTTTTATTTTACAGAGAACATTGTATACATGCTTGTAAATGTGGTCGTTATCATAATGTGAAATTAGCTTAGGAGTAAAAATACTGAGGTAGTAATTAACAAATATGAAAACGTCACGACATAGAAAATTCACTGAGGAACACAATGCAAAAAACCACATGAAAATCCGTCAAGCCATAGTCATGCAAGCATCGTGGCAAGCTGGACAGTCGGGTCAAAACACGTTTCTGAGAAAACTGGCGTTAAAGTTGAACAGTCAGTAAAGGTCCATCAAAATGCCCCGGGACTGTAATACTTTGTGTCTTTGCTTGCGAGGGTCTTCTTACGTCCTTTCTCTTTCATTTTTTCTGCACTGCGTGCTTTTCGTTTTCTTTGCTGGTCTTTTTCTTCAGCTCTTTGAAGGGCGAGGCTAGCAGGTTTGATGCCCACGGACTTGCACATTTCAGTGTAGGCTCGCAAATTCCCAAAATTGTAGCGTGCAACTGCTTCATGTACTGTTGTCTCCACTGCGAACAATGAAGCGTGTTGGTCCTTTGAAGTCAGTGACCAAATAACTGAATGCAAGCTTTCCGCCGCATTCTGAGTTTTGTTGCCTTTGCATCGCTCCAACAGTTGCGGGTCAGAGAGACGTTGGTATACAGGCAGCAGAGCCTCCGCTACACGTTTCGACAGGTTATACCTGGGAGGTGGTGCTGGCTCCATTTTGGCCTGTGCTGAACGATGTTTGCACCAGCTATCAGGGCCAGGTGGGCAGAGCTCATGGTGAGGCTCGTCGTCGGTGGACGTGACGTGTTAAAAAGTGGCCATCACAGCCCTTTGCATGTCAGGGACACTTGTGTGTTTTCGCAAGGCTAACCCGTAGTAGCTGGTCAGTTTTTTAATCAACTCCTGCGTCAGTCCACCTCTCCCACCCAATGGCTCCCCTTTCTTAGCTCTTGTCACCAGTGTGCGGAGAGCGGTGCCCATTCTCTTCTGCACATGGTTCACGCAGTCTTCTTTGGTCAGTGGTATGAAGCAGTACACCTCATCTTTGCACAGAGCAAGATAGGTTCGGCTGTCACCATCACATATAATGTTGGTGTAGCGGAGGCCATACCTGCTGACAGAGCGCCTGAAAAGTGTCAGAGCAGCCTCCACTTCCATCTGTCCGGAGCCAACATCAGTATTCTTCTGACATTGATGTTTCTCAGCCCAAGTGACGAAGTTGGGGTCGCTCTCTGCTGGTTGTTGACAACACCCAAGACAGAAGTTGGAAAGGACTGTGCAATCCAGCACAAGCCCTGTGTAAAACTCAATAATACATCCTACCCCAATGTGTGAGCTGTGGCCTCTTGTAAGCCACGTGCCGTCATACACAACTGTGATGTTGTTTGGGCTTGATGGCTGCATCTTACTGTACACGTCTTTTACCGCAAGCACAGCATCTGCAAAGATGTTTTGTGCAGCTTCCTCTGCTCCTGGTTTGAATGTTTTTTTTAGGTGTTCCTGATAGGTTTTTTGATGAATGCCCCGATGAGAGACATTCATTGTAGCCCAGAAGTCATTCAGGGCAGTGGGCCCTTTTCCAATGGACTTGATTGCTTGCATGGCTCTTAGGTTGACTTCAAAAGCCCTTCCTTCGGATTTTCTACTGGATGACCAAGGTGAATGAATAGGGCCACAGGAAGCACACAAAAGTACCAGTTTTACTGCCAGGCCCAATTTTGTCCCATGCTGCACTGACAAAGTCTTCTTACAACATTTTGGGCAGAGTGCAGGTCCTATTAGGGAATTCATGGCAGAAACCTGAATTAGGGTGAACTCATCCTCTTTTGTTGCCGATGTTTGCTCCGTTTGCTGCGCGAACCCGAACTTCCGCTCCGTTGCCGACACCTCGCGAAGTGCATCGCGGACACTGCTGGCTTGCTTCTCGGCGCCTTCCGAGGACACGAAACGAGGTTCCAGGTGTATTTGAACGGTGCGCTTCCGCTGAGGCAAACGATCGCCGACATCCTGGACAGCTGGCACCACGTCGTCATCCGCCGCCGCGAAAACGAAACTTTTCTCGCGTTCACACCGCACCGTGATGCCGCGGCTAGTTGATGGCCCCGGGTCTTCAGTGTCACTGCCAGGCGTCGATTCACCGTCACTTTGAACAGCCGGCACCGCATCGTCACCCGCCGCAGCGAAAACGAAACTTCTTTCGCGTTCGGGCCGCACCGCAACGTCGCGGCTAGTTGACGGCCCCGCGTCATAGGCCTCACTGCCGAGCATCGGCAGCGAGCAGGTGTCGGCTTCCGACGACACGTAGCTTGGTGGCGACGCGGTACTCGGTTCGTCTGATTCAATCGCTGCTGACTGCTTCGTTTTCCCAACAGGAGGCTTGCGTTTACGCTTCCCGTAAGCGTACTTCTTCCGGTACTTCGTCCTGCGCTTCCGGTCCACGCGACGATCCATTGCGGGCGCTAAGCCCGCAATGGATCGCAAACTATATAGATTCTATAGATTCGCAAACTATAGTGCGCCAGCGTGTGCGTAGCAGACGTGCGTGCGCGGAGCAGACGACCAGCGCAAGCAAGCGCGTCCCAGCAGCCACTCACAGAGCGCGCTCAGTACCACGTGACAGGAGCGACCAATGGGTGCGCGTCTAAGGCGTCGCGGATGCCTTCGCATTTTTTCTGTTTGTGCGTTTATCTTAGCTCGTAGAGTCGTGGTTTCACCGGGAGAAGTACGGCGGTGAAGCAAGCTTTCCAGTGACACCAAGCTTTCCGCGAGCGGCGGCGAAGGCGCGGAAGTATCGCGCTCGGAAATGGGCCATTTTCGCGCAGATTTCAGCCAGCTTTTTGCGATCCGCGGTCAG